AGAGAGAGAGCGAGAGAGGGGGAAGGGGGGTGGGGAGGGGGGGTAGTAGACAATTTGACAAGTCTTTTTTTCTTGCTCTGTTTTCTTCTTTTCTCGCCATTTCTCTTTGTTTTTTTTGGGGGGTAACTTCGGCGCAGTCACAAAATCAGTTTGTAATTGCACTTCAGGCAATCCCGCGAACACAACACACCCCCACGCGACCCCACCGGACCCGAAACGTAGGTCATATACATTCAGCATTACCAGCCCTTTTGCCTCAAGTGCAATTACAAACTCAAACCCTGACTGCGCCGTAGTTTTCTCTTTTTTTTTTTGTGGAGGGGGGGGTTTGTTCGGGCATGATGTTTGAGACAGTGTCATCCCGGGTAACTTGGCGTTGTTTTTGTTCGTTGTCGTGATTGCTGTACATAGTAAAGTGATGGTTGTGGTCTTGTTGTATTTCGGATGATTTGCACGCAGGCCAAGGGAGGTGCGGAAGGCTTGCGAGATGTTTATCCTGAAGTAATGGAAGTCGAGCAAGGTGGGTAATTGAAAAAGAGGGGGTGGGGGGCGGGGGGGGGGGGTAGGAACGGAGGGGATTCCAGAGTTTCCTCCTCCATCTCTCTCCACAACACATCCAGGTTCAGGCGTGAAATCCAATCCTCTTTCCTAGTGGAACCTTGCCCCCGCGGATCAAGGCAGATCTTCCTCTCATCTGTTAAAAAAAAGTTTAAAAACAAAAAACAAAAAAGCTCCTTTGCTCAATGAATTATTCTCGGTGGCAACCTCTTCACCCCCCCCTCTCTTCTTCTGTGAGAGGGCTTTCTTTTTTTGGTCAGTTTGAATTTTATTCATTTCCTTTCTTCAGAAAGGGCGATGGCCTTGAGATATCGTCATCGAATATATAATAAGCTGTTTTCCTCAAAAAAAAAATCATCGTCGAACTGACCTGCCCTAGATAATTCCGACTTGTAGTCCTTCACTCATCTGCTTCCAGTGGAGTTTGAACTCCAGAGGAAGCAGATGAGTGAAGGACTACACTGGAAGATTAGGGTCTGTATTTCAATTTTCAACAGTTCAGTTCAGAGGGTGTACCAACTGAGAGCTAGGCCAGTTGGTTGTGCTGGATCGCATCTTTATTTGGTGTGCTGGATCGCGTATTTATGTATTTATTTATTTATTTATTATCGTTTGATAAAATAACATGAAACGGTATTCACCTGTTAGCAGTAGTGAATGCAGATCCTATTCACAACAGTTGGTAGGCTGTCGTAGGTCCGTAGGTTGTAGGGGTTCGATCTGTAGACCTGTAGGATAGAGGTCTTAGTGAGTTCGAGAAGTCGTAGCTGTAGCTCTTCTGAAGGGTCAAGGTCGTAGCTGCTCTACAGTCCTGAAAGGTCAAGGTCGTAGCTGCTACAGTGTTCGAAAGGCCAAGCCCACAGACTTCCGGAAGGTCCGGAAGCGGCCTTTCGAAGTTGTCTCACGTTTGGACAGAGACAAGTGGGCAAGTGGTGAGCCCAACTGCGTTACGTCGGCAGTGCGACTGCATCGAGTTGGCAGTACAAACCCATGGAGTCAGCGGTATCGGTCCCAGCCAGTCACAGTCCAGTCAAGCAAGTACGGTGTGGGACTGTGTGCACCCAGGGCATGGGAAAGGGGCAGACCAACGAGTTACAGAAGTATAAATCAAGAGGCAGCGCGCAGCCATTCATTGATTCCTGCGTAAGCCGTGCGGAAGCGCTGCTTGAGCGATTTGTGCAAGGTGGTCTGCAGAGCGCCCGAAGACGAAGTGGGCAGAGTAGAGGTTGTATAGCCATAGCCAGCAGGGTTGAGCGGCCATAGCCGCCGTAGGTGGTAGGCGAGTGTAGTGTGTGCGTGTGTGTGATACAGTGTGTCGCGTGTGGGATATACAGGGTGATCCTGAGTTGAGTGTATGTGGACAGTGGAGTGGGGCACAGTGACGAACAGAGGGTTGTGCAGGCGCTGATGCGCCATAGCCTGTTGAAGCGAGCATGCATTTGAACTGTGTTTCCGGTTTCCATATCTCTGAGCTTTGAGTGGGCGCTGAGCGCGAGTGTGACTTGTCATCTGTTTGCATGAGTACGAACGGAGGGATCAAGCCGACAGCCAAGCTGCTGAGAGGAACAAGCTAATAAGCCCGAAGCCTGCGGAACTCAGTTAGCAAACCAGAAGGAAGACTTGGGCCTGAATCCAAATTAGGTCCATTAGGCCATAAAAGGGAGGTACATCCGACAACACTCAGCCGAAAGAAGCCAGGAGACAGAGTGCTCAGGGAGGTGGATGGTAGAAGATACAGGCTAACTTAGGCAGGGGTGAGGGGTGGTACATCCTTCCTAGGGAAGCAATCAATGCAGTCCACTTGGGCCTCTCAACCATAATGGGGAGGAGCGTGCGTGAGTCCTTATTGTATCCATATTTGACTTGCCGGGGGAATAGGAACCGGACTGTTGCTCCCCAGAATGGCAGGAGCCAGAACCGAGAGGTTAAAAAAAAAAAAAGAAAAAAAAAAATTTTTTTTTTTTTTTTTTTTGCCGGGGGAATAGGAACCGGACTGTTGCTCCCCAGAATGGCAGGAGCCAGAACCGAGAGGTTAAAAAAAAAAAAAGAAAAAAAAAAAAGAATAGGAATATTGACAAGATTGCACTGACATGAGATTGTGGTGCCTTTTTCTTTCGGGTGATTTCTTTGTTTCTTTGCCTTTTTTTTCTTTTTTTTCTTTTTCTTTTTTTTTCTTTTTTTTTTCTCTTTTTGTGGTTGCAGAGTCCAGTTACTTGGATCTTCTTTTTGAAACGGATTCCGAGATGATTTTCCGTAAGTATATTCGTTATCTCACCATCTAGAAAAACACTTTCTGTGCTTGTTCATTTTGTTTGCTGTCCTCAATAACCTGGATGTCTTGGCCTTCGACTCTCCCCCCCCTTCCCCTCCCCCTCCCCCTCCCCCTCTCGCCCCCCTCAAACGGCCCCAGTGCCCAACGCTTTGCCTTCGACTTTTGTGTTCAACCTCCAATCCTTGTTTTGAAGTGTTTTTCCCCCGCCCTCCTCTTTTCTAAGCTGGTAGTTCATATATCTTTACTGTAGTCCGAGCCCTGTCTGCAGATGCTGATCTCAACAGCTGTTGTTGGCGGCGGGCTACTATCTTCCCCCGGACATAATGCATATGCGTTGCATTGAAGTTTTTGACAAATTCGTAAATTCGAATAGAGCACATACGCGTTGTGTTCGAAAATAGGAGTCGTTCCAACAGAAGCCATGTGCGTTGTATATTGAATAGAACCCAACCTGTGTGTTTATTCGTTTACAAGGCATGTGCGTTATGTTCGTGGGAAGACGGTAGTTCATACAAGCTGCAGGTACTGTTGCTGATGTTGGCGGGTTAATTCATACAAACTGCAGATGCCGTTGCTGTTGTTGATTGAGTACCGTCTTCACCTGAATAGAACGCCCGGTCGTTGTTGTGCAAGGAAAATGAACAGAAGCGAGATGACAATATTCAGATTGCACAATCACATTGAAAGCCAAATCGTATCACAGTGTTCAGAAAGCAGCATTGCACCAATATAACACCAATGGAGAATCGTAATACTGAAAGTCAATGTCAATGAGAGCTTGCTTTCGCCACCACCAACATATGTATCCAGTCTCTATCTCCCTACTTGGCGCTCGGCGCCCAGCCTACTCCCTACACAGCTACTACTGGCCTACTAATTGACAAAGCAACTGTTCACGTCAGCAGCCTCCGAAGTACGTGAAGATGTCGCCCATGCAGACCATCACCAATACCAGGTATGAGCCCTCACATCATCATCATCATCATCCTTCTCTCTCTCTCTCTCCCTTGCCTCTCTCCCACGTCTTCCCACTGTACATCCAAGCCCGCCAGCTATGGAGGCTGGGTTATGGCGCTGCCCTCAGCAGCGCCCTGCTCTCTGCACGATCGCACGTGCTTGCACCTCGCCGCTCAGCGCTAGCAGCAGCCCACGAGCTTCAGCTCCAGCAGCGCTGCTGCCAGCATGCGAGTGCCCGAATGCCAGGCCAGGGAGCGAGCCCCTTCCTATATGGAAAGAGCCTGCCTCATTCGGCAGTCTGGCTGGACTGGCCTGGGCCCAGAAGCTTCTGGTAGGCCCCAGGATGCTGCGCCTCTCTTGCAGCTACTGGGCCTCGTTCGGTTGGGCCTCCCAACTGTCTGTGTATGAGGCTGCGATTCTCGTCCAGGGCCTGCATCATTTTGGAAAGGCCTGGAAGGTCTTGCTGCTCGGCCTGTGTTTTTCTCAACCAACTGGTGCGACGAAACTGCCTGGACCCCAAATACGAAATTGACAGCCGAGGGCCTCTCTTGATTTGTTAGGCCCGCCTTCACTTAGGGCGGGCACAGATGCAACAGGGGACCCCTTAGGCCTGCCGAGGTTCCGAATCCTCGCATTCCCTCCTCCTGTACTTCGATAGTCCCCTGATAAGTCTTCTATTCTGCAGGCATCTTTCCTTTGAGATCTCTTTCGTAGCCTGCAATGACTTGAGGTGCAGTTCTCATGAGTTCTTCTCTGGTGAACCACCGATCTTCGCTAGGATCCATATGATGTCTGAATCTGACCCGGTACTGCATTTTTGGCTTAGGAGGGCGACCTCTGCCCGGTGGCCGAGGAACAGGCATCACACGATGCTCCACAATCTGGTCGACGTCCACTTTGCCATCCATGGTTGGGGACAGTATTGACCGTTTGGAAGGGAATTGTGCAGATTCTGCGAAAGGTGCCAGCTTTGAGGCATGAAATACAGGGTGTGTACGTAGATCGGGGGGGATACGAATCACATAGGAAGGTCCACCCATCTGATCTCCCACTATGTCTAAGACCTCCCAAGGACCAAAGTACTGTGGCATTAGCTTTCTAGAAATTCCCAGTTCCTGTCCCAACTCAGATGATTTAACCCAAACTCGTTCTCCTACCTGAAATTGAGACGGCCGTCTGTGCTTATTCTCAGATGCCACCATGGCATCTTGAGCTTTTCTAATATGCTCTACAGCCTGTTGCAGCATCTGATCATACTTTACAGCAAACTCTATGCTGCCTGGTGCTACAGATGGTTGACTCTCAGGTAACAGAAAATCTAAGGTGGTTCTAGGCTTCCAATCAAGATGCAGTTGGTTGGGGGTCATGCTAGTCGTGCTGTGTACAGCATGGTTATACAGGCTGGCGACGAGAGGCAGTTTCTCGTCCCAGTCATCTTGACTTGGCTTAATGTAGTGCCTCAATAATTGTTGCACTACTCGATTCATTTGTTCCGCCTGTCCATTTGACTCAGGGTGGTTCCCTGACGTCATCTGCAGTTTGGTGCCCATTTGTTGGGCTGTGTTTTGCCACAGTTCGCTTGTAAAACGTTCATCCCGGTCACTGACAATAGACTTAGGTAAACCAAAGTCTCGAACCCAATTGTCCATGCATAGTCTGATGACATAGTCAGTTTTAGCAGTCTCCGGCATAACGATTAGTCTGGCATATTTGGGAAAACGGTCTACTATAATGAAGATGTGCCTTTTTCCAGACCTGCTGGTCACAAGAGTATCCATGAAGTCCATGGAGACGCTTTGACCAGGACCTTCAGGGATCGGCAAGGGCTTGATGAGCCCAAGTGGAGCCTGAGTTCCAGGTTTGTCACGTTGACAGACCTGACAGGTTTCAACATATTTCTTGGCATCTTCCATCATAGAAGGCCACCAAAACTTCTGTACTAGGTTAGCTGATGTCTTTCTATAGCCAAAATGTCCAGTTGCATCATGACATTCTCCTAAAAATAAACTACACAGACTCATTATTAGGAACACAAAGTCTTTTATTCCTTGCCTTTTCAAGAAACAGCAAGCCATTAACCATCGCAAATTTGTCAGAAGTTACTTTATCCTTCTCTTTGAACTTACGGATGATTTCAGACATAACTGAGTCTTGCTGATAGGCCTCCACCAAAGATCGAGTTAGATCATTAGATATGCCGAATTCAGTCACTAGCTTGCCCAGGTAATCTGCCCGACGTGAAAGTGCATCGGCTACCTTGTTGTACTCTCCCTTGATTGGATCAAGTTGATAGTCATACATTTCTATCACTGGAATCCATCGCTTAAGTGCGTCAGAGAGCACCGGTTTTGTTTTGATCCAGCGCAGGGTCTCATGGTCAGATCTCACATAGAAAAATCTGCCAAGGAGATAATGTCTCCAGTGGACCAGCGCTCGGTAAAGGGCGTAGAGATGACGCTCATAGGTAGACCTGGCTAGCTTCTGAGAAGGCATTTTTTTGCTCATGTACTCGATAGGTCTCAACTTGGTCCCCTCCTTTTGTGCAAGGACCGCGCCTATGCCATATTGGTTGGCGTCTGTGGTCACTACAAATGGCTTATCAGGATCCGGAAGTTTAAGATCCTCGTAGTGTGTTAGGGCATACTTCAGTTTCCTGAAGGCCGCCTCACACTGTTTAGTCCACTCGCAAGGGGTGTACAGTCGAGTTAGATCCGTTAATGGGGAAGCTATAGTACTGTAGTTCTTTACAAACGGACGATAGTAGCCCGTCATCGCCAAAAACGATCTGACCTCAGTAACAGTCCGAGGTCTGGGCCAGTCACGTATGCTGGCCACGTTAGCATCATCCGACCTCAGTCCATCCGTTGAGATTTCATGACCAAAGTATAAGATCTTGGTGCGACCGAACTTGCATTTCTCGAAGTTAACCTTGTACTGGTGCTGTCTTAGGCGACCTAGCACTATTTTCAAGTGCTCAGCGTGCTCCTCTACAGTCCTACCACACCGATAAACTTGTCTAAGTAATCATGAAATATCCTGTTCATCGTGTGCTGGAACGTACCAGGTGCACTGCACAGGCCAAAGGGCATCACCACAAACTCGTACAGACCGTACCTGGTTTGAAATGCGGTTTTGTGCTGGTCCTCAGGTCTAATGGCAATTTGATGGTATCCGATCTTCAGATCTATCTTGGTGAAGTACCGACATCCCAACACTCTATCCAAGAGGTCTTCGATGCGGGGTAGGGGCTCCGCGTTCTTAACGGTGATGGCATCGAGGCCCCTATAGTCAATGCACATCCTCAGGGTACCTCCCTTCTTTGGGACAAATAAAATTAGCGCACCGTAAGGGGAGGTACTAGGCCACATCCATCCCTTTTCTGTGAGCTCCTTGAGCTGACGGCGGAGCTCATCCAACTCCGCAGGAGACATCCTATAGATTCGTCCTCTAGGTACCTTACTACTTGGGACAACCTCTATTGCATGGACCACCTCCCTTCCTACCACTCCTGTGGGCTCCTAAAAAAGATCCGAATATGTTGCGACGACTGATTCTATCTCTGGGGGTGTTTTAACGGCCTCCCCTTTCTCAGAGACAAAGACTAGATACATGCCCTCCTCGCGATTCTGCTTGTAGTAGTTATAGAAAGAGGAAGCACACATGCAGCCGTAGTTCTCCACTAGACTGCTAACTTTATTCTTTTGCAGTCTAAAGGTTCTACCGTTTGGCAACTTTTGTATCAACACCTTCCTATCCCAATCAAACTGAGGTTGCGCGACCTCGAGGTAGTACATGCCTAGTAGCATATCAAAGGGCAGTTCGTCGCTGACGAGGAATGAGATTTTATGTCTCACTTCCCCTCCTCCATAAGAGAAGGAACAGACTACGTCCTTGACATAGTCTTTAACAATCATTTCGTGCTTGTTGGCTAGCGTAGAAGCTACAGTTCGGCTAAGCCGCTGCACTTGGTGCCCTAAGTGCAGTCTATCCACACAAGCACGACTGATGAAGTTTCGTGTAGAACCTATGTCTGCGAAGGCGCCAACTTTGCGGCCACCTACATCAACCTCTACCACGAAATGTTCACCCTTTGGACCTCTACTGATCATCGCCCAAGAGTCTCTGGGGTCCTTTCCTGACCACTCAGTCTAACTCTTCTAGGGCCTTAGACACATCTCTCGAACAGAGCGTCCGTGGGTCTAAATGTGTCTGCGGGGCGATACGTGGGTCACTAGCCCTGGCCAACGCGTGAAGTGGGGAAGGCAACATTACCGCTTCAGCGCGAGTAAGAGCGGCTAAAACTCCTACTGGCCCAAGGTGTTTCCCTACGAAGTGCTCGCAGAAGCACTGCTAGGGTTCGAGGATAATCCCACCACCGTTGGAGAGGCTACCCTCGTTAGGACTTTCTTGCCTCGGCAAGTTTGGGATGTGTGGCCATAGTTGCCACAGTTCATGCACGTGCCTCTAGCGACTCAGTCCCTCCACACCTCGTGCTCTAAACCAAGTTTCACCTATACGGGCATACCTTGGTCGCCTGACCCATAGACCGGCCTACCTTCTTCTTCCCAGTCCCCCTAGCCTTTTCTTTGATGGGTGCCACGACTCCCCCATCCGAAGTCTCGCTGGCCCCATCGTGCTCTGTTTCCTCCCCAAGATCTGGGAAGTCGTCAATTTCTGTCCCCTGACCATCGTGGTCGACGAACATTAGTTGACCTTTCTTCTTCAAGTCCTGGGGTAGTCTCTTCTTCCTACCATCTCCCTAACTCTGATGTGCGGACCCCAGTTTTGCCTCTATGTCTAAGGCCTTCTTGCTGAAAGAAGCGAAGTTGTGCTGCCCTACATAGGCCTCGTCAACCAGCTTTGTCCCAACCTCTGAAGGTAGACATCTAAGGTAATCTGTGAGGAGTACCTGCTGGTCATAGCGCACACCAGGTACCACGAGCGGACGTTCTACGGTATTCTTGAGCTCTTTAACATTCTTGTACCTTCTGGCACAAAGATTGATGATCGCATCGGTGGCCTTTTGGGCCCCTTGCGGGTCATGCCACCTATTATACACGGACCGTACAAACTCTTCCATTGTCTGGGCCTGGCCCCAGGCATCGAAGTTCTGACCGTAGCCCTGCTGCTGCACTAGGCCATTCAACCAGCGGGCTGCTGACCCCTCTAGAAAGGAGGCAGCTACTACAACTTCTTGCTCAGGCCTGGTGAGCTTGTGCCTCACGTAAGTAGGCACCGTCCTTACCCAGGTATCCAAATCCTCATCCTTCTTCCTGTCGCCAGAGAAGGGCTTAGGACTCAGCAAGGGTATTTGGGCATCCACTGCATAGGCTGCATTGGCCCAGGGGATTGCTTCAGTGGCTACATAGCCACCGAAATAGGTTGTTGCACACTAACCTGGGCCTGGCTTGACAGTGGGACTGTAGTAACCACTGTCGTCGATGGTACGGCTGGGACCGGACCACTAGTCGCCACATAACCACCTGGCGGGGGCATGCCAAACATAGGTGAGAATGAAGGCCCTACCGGCGACGACGTCACTGATGGACCCACGACCGAAGGGGGAGCTACAGCAAACTGAGGCTCCCTCATCACTGGACGAGGAGCCTGTAATGCAGCCAAAATTCGTTTTTGGCCTGCCACTAGTTCAGCCAATACTTCCTGCTGAACAACCTGGGTCTCCGCCACACACAGGAGCGAATTCCGCAGAGCTTGCATAGCGGGATCTAATGTGGACTCATCTAGTGCTTCCAGCTTGCCTAGTTCCTGCAATCTACTACCTAGTCTAGCTTTTCTCATTATTGCTCTTCTTCTTCTCTCTGCTGCTTCATCCAACTGCCGCTGCAACTCATCCTGAAGTTCTTCAGCTTGGAGGATCTCATAATCCTCCGGCGTGAGTTGAGCCTGCTGGCTGACTTGCAAGCCATGGTCGTACCGGTGCTAGCTGTAATCCTACACCTGGCACTGGCCTCAGCCACCCTCACTCTTCTTGCCGCTGTTCTCTCTCTAGCCTCTCTCCGCAGTCTCCTCTCGTCTCCTGGACCTAACTCTAGGAAAGTCAAAGGTCGACTGAGAGCAGTTCTACGAGTAGTCCTACGGTTGTCCACTGGCAACTCCTCCTCACTAGTGGTTGCATCACTCATGAGCTGCAGTGTGTGTGATCTAAACTAGAATCCACATTGAATCCTACCTCAGTATGACACACAACCGATTATGATACACAACTAACTTCGGTCGGCCTGGACAGAAACAGTTAGGTGGTTAGGTGTCACCCAGTGTCTGATCCTACAGGGAACATTAAATCTATTTTTAGATTACTCTAATACAGATTGCAATGCAGCAAAGAATATACTACTCTATCTGCAGTTGTCTGTCAGTTGTTAGTCAAGTCCGTAACAACTACATAATCAAAAATAAAAATAATGCTCCCTGCAGAGATGTATGCTGGATGGCAGTTTCTCTAATTAATGCCACTACGAACAGTTACTCGAATCCAACCCTTTCCCTGTATCCCTCTTGAGTAACCAAGGACTTGCAGCAAAACATGCGTGTCCCAGTCCCAGCGGGTTGGCATGGTGACCGTGACCCGAGTGCTTCGTCCAGGGCCCTTCAGAGGCATCACCCGTCTCCCACTAGCTTGCTGCCCAGGAAGAATGTCGACTCTCAAGGTTGAGCGCTCGCGACACCTCACATTGAGAGGAGTCTCAAGACAGAACTCACTTCCTCACGGTAAGAAGCAATGAAGAGAGTAGATAAGGAAGGAAGCAACGTACCTCATAATGCTGCCCCCAACCACAGATTTCTCACCCGCAACCTGATGTGCATTTATGATGACCGGTCTTTGCCTCGGCACAACCAACAGCAGAATGCAGTTCCACCTC